AAAATGGAGTGTTTAAATATTGATGGTATATGGCTTATTAAACTTTAATATACTGGCACTGGCTATTTTAAATTAGGTAATCAAGTGGTTTATAAGCCTGAGATTGACAGATTCAAGAATACTGGTGTCATATTCATCATCAAAAAGTATATTGCAAGATCTTCTCTGAAGTATAATTCGGTCTGTGGTAGGTTGGTATTCATATGCTTGAAGGTAAGACCAGTTACTACAAGTGTTATTTAAATTTGTGCACCAACTGGTAAAGCAAACATAAAGTGTGGGATTTATCCCCACAGCCAAACGAGCCCTTAGGAACAGCATGTGCAGACAGTAAAAATGGGGTACAAGTGTTATTTAAATTTGTGCACCAACTGGTAAAGCAAACATAAAGTGTGGGATTTATCCCCACAGCCGAACGGGCCCTTAGGAACAGCATGTGCAGACAGCAAAAATTGGGTAGAGTGGCCTCATCTCCGATGCTGGAATAAGATAGCGAGGTCATTTAACAGTGAGTTTATGTAGTAGAAAGGTGTGGAAGCCTCCAGAAGGCACAGACACAACAGAACAGACAACTGTGAATGTGGGAATATCCTGAAGTCTTTTAGAACGCTTCATGATAAGTATCAGGATGTGGGAAACTGAGGACCAAGAAGAGTGGATGAAAACAAATCATTTATTCTCAGAATCAAAGAAGATTGCAAGGCCTTGTATCTGGGTGGAGAGAGGCATTCACATTTGTAAATTGGAAAAGAATCCCAGTCACATGCTCTGAATTAAAAATCATCCCCACAATATCCCCTCATCATAGTGCTACCTTAATGACACCTCATACAAGCACATGCTAGTTACTGTCTGCCACCAGCTTTAGCTATAAGAGCAGACTTGTTATTGGCCTCCCCACTCAGGGAACAGTTACTCCCCTCCACCTGCCCTCAGCACTGGTCTTAAATTGCTCACCCAAGTAGTTCAGGGACCTTCAGGGTACAGATACTGCCTACCTTGCTAGGTACATAGGTATCTATGTGTGTGGGGAGGGGGGCGGGGTGTTGCATTCCCTCAGACTTTATGGCATAAATACTCAAGTATAAGGCAACCCAAATATCACAAAAACTATATTTTCCCACAAAAACTGCATAAAAACATGTTGAAAACCTCGGGGAATACACGAGTATATATGGTAAATTGGTGAAAGAATACATTCTCTCTCTATCCTACTAAGACTTGGCATCCTGGAAGAGGTGAGTGCCTAAATACTTCTGTCTGCCTTTTTATTTCTGCCTTTCAATTACACAACCACCCCTTAGGACCCATCCTAAGATATTTAAGAGACAAAAGGATAGTTGATTTCTTGAGTGATCACAACAAAAGGAACGTAATTGCTTCTAAAGCTAGGCATCTTTTAGCTGAGTAGCAAGAAGTCAGGCACCTGTAGGAGCTGTATACTAACATCTTAGTGGAGGGAGGGTAGTTGTGGAGAAAACT